ACTTTATACGACGGAGACAGTTCAGAGAGACTAGCAGTAAAGAGACTTCTTGCTGCACTAGGAGCAAGAGGCAAACACCAGAAGCAGCAGCAGCAGCAGCAGCAGAAGCAGAAGCAGCAGCAGCAGCAGCAGCAGCAGCAGGTGCTGCGGAGAAGGATCGATAACGCCAAACTTGAAGCCATAGCAAAGGAGGTAAGAGACAGCTCTTCTTCTGTCTCCTTTTTTCTTTGTCTCTTTTGTCTCCTTTGTCTCCCTTTTGTTTTCTCCTTTTGTCTTTGTCTCTTTTGTCTCCTTCTTGTTGTCTCCTTTTTGTTTTATCCTTTTTGTTGTTTCTTTTTTTGTCTCCTTCTTGCTGTCGCCTTCTTGTTGTCTCCTTTTTGCTGTCTCCGTTTTGTCTTTCTGTCTCTTTTCTCTTTATCTGCTTCTCCCTTCTCCTGGTGTCTCCTTAGTTACTCTAAACCAGCAGCAGCAGCAGCAGCAGTAGCAGCAGCAGCAGCAGTAGTATCAGCAGCATCAGCAGCATGAGCAGGAGCAGCAGGAGGAACAGCACCCGTACTACCAATAGCAGCAGCAGCAGCAGCAGCAGCAGCAGCAGCAGCAGTATTTCTGTTATTTTGCTGCTGCTGTTCTCAGCTGCGGGGCTATGAGGGGGCGCTGCAGAAGAAGAGACAGGAGGAGACACTTGAGAGAGAGATGCGCCTCGCCCAGATGTACGTCAACAAGGCCAACAACATACAACTGCATGCAGGTACGAGACAACTGCTGCAGCAGCAGCAGCAGCAGCAACAGCAGCAGCAGCAGCAGCAGCAGCAACAGGGGGATGGGGATACATCAAGAGGGCAGATATCTGAGATAGTTTAAGAAGAAGAGACAACAAAAAAGAATAAAAAATAAAAAAAAAATATATATATATATATATACATGTTTGTTTTTTATTCTTTTTTGTAATAAAAGAAACACAACAAGTGCAGCAGCAGCAGCAGCAGCAGCACTTTGTAGCAGCAGAGATAGAGGGGAAGGAGACAGATAAAAAGGAGACAGGAGACAGACAAACGGAGACAGCTGAAAACTGAGGCAACCTGTGCAAGCGAGACATAAACAATATTTCTTGTTGACATTGCTGCTGCTTCTGCTGCTGCTGCTGTTGCTGCTGCTGCTGCTGCTGCTTCTGCTGCTGCTGCTGCTGCTGTTGCTGCTGCTGCTGCTGCTGCTGCAGATGAAATATACTCTCGGCCTCAGCGGGAGTGGTTCGAAAGCGCCAAAGACAAAAAGAGGCTGCAGGAGGCGTCGCGTGCTGAGGCAGAGGCAAGGTCTCTTCTCAGCAGCAACAGCAGCAGCAGCAGCAGCAGCAGCAGCCGCAGCATGGATGCAGCAGCAAATAAGAAACAGAAGCAAAAGCAGCAGCAGCAACAAGAAGAGCATGAAGACACCACGGAGTCTGGCAGCAGCGAGGATGAGGGCAGCAGCGAAGAAGGCAGCAGCAGCGAAGAAGAAGACGAAGACGACAGCAGCGAAGGTGCAGCTACAACTGCAGCAGCAGCAGCAGCAGCAGCAACAGCAGCAGCAGCAGCAGCAGCAGGAGCAGCAGCAGCAGGTGTGTGTGTGTGTATGTGTGTGTGTTGCTGCTGCTGCTGCAGAGCTGCCCGACTGGGTGACAGCTGAGGATGCTGGCAGCAGCGAAGATGAAGAGGACCCTTCAGCAGCAGCAGCAGCAGCAGCAACAGCAGCAGCAAAAGTTAAGTTTAAAGAGTTGAAAGCAACCAAGGAACAAAAGGCGAAGCTGCAGCAGGAACTGCAGCAGCAGCAGCAGCAGAGAAAGAAGAAGCGCCAGCCTTTGTCTGCGAAGCAAAAGGAGGTAAGACCCTATAGCTGTACCCCTGCAGCAGCAGCACCAGCAGCAGCAACAGCAGCAGCAGCAACAGCAGCAGCAGCTGTCGCTGCCGCAAGAATACTACTACAAGCAACAGCAGCAGCAGCAGCAGCAGCAACAGCAGCAGCAGCAGCAGCAGCAGCAGCAAGATGTGGGTTTCTGCTTCGCAGCGAATGGAGGAATTCCGCGTAGCCAAGGCAGCAGCAAGGTCCAAAAAGAAGTACGCTACTAAACATATCAGCAGCAGCAGCAGCAGCAGCTGCTGCTGCTGCTGCTGCTGTTTGCACAGTACTATTAGCTGCAGCAGCAGCAGCAGCTGCTGCAGCAGGTGCAGCAGCAGCAGCAGCAGCAGCAGCACAAGCAGCCGAAATGAGTTTTGGTGTTTTGCGTTAAAGTTGTCTATGAACGACCTCCGCCATCCCTCATATAAATCTGAGGTCCCCATGCTGCTGCTGCTGCTGCTGTTGCTGCTGCTGCTGCTGCTGCTGCTGCTGCTGCTGCTGCTGCTGGGTTTGCTGCAGGAGCGCGAGGCCGCAGCGGCTCCGTATGGACCGTGACTATGATGAGGATGCCGCGGGCGGCTCCCTCCGGAGACAGAAGAAGCAGCAGAGAAAGAGAAAGAGAAGCGTGAAAGACAGCAG